AGATTGTAAAGTTCTGTCCAAGAAGCTTTATCCTTTGCAGAGGCACATGGTGCATTCATGGTTGTCTTTAACATGGAGGCACTTTTACCAGCTTTCTTTAATCTTCTCTGTGAACTCTATAAAAGGAAGCAGGGCCATGTGGGCATGTGATCATGTGCAGGAACTATGAGGTCTTTACCGTAATTTCTGGAATATAAGCGGCTACGTTTTTTACATATTTTGACCCTCGCAGCTTAAACAATGCTGCGGCTAATTTGTGGATTTTTTTATTTATTTTTTTGACGGGTTAACGAGCTTCCTGCCACCAAAACATTTACACATGTGTGATGCCTCATCACATAGCTGCCCAATATACATCTCTCTTTGGGGGTGGTTCCTCGTGACTCAATTAGACTACCTGTATAAATACAGGTAAAAAAAAAAAATACTGTACGTATTTAATTAAAAGTAAAAAAAATATTTCTGTGTAAATATTTCATGTTACAACATGGACACCCACGGCTTATAGAAAAGCACGGCCTATATATGTACAAAATTAAATATTTATTTATTTTAGTGGGCATGACTGGGTGCGCTCAATAGTCTGGAAATTACGATGTGTGAAAAGTGGCAGAGGGATATGAAAAATATGAATGACTTAGATTCATAAATCTGCATCGCTGCTTTCAGTTCAACCAGACTGCTTTGAGCGTTCATAAAATATAAGTTATTCTGATGAAGAAGATGTGATTTTATGAGCTAAAATGAAAAACACATTTGATAGTCGCAAATTGGATGTTCTTTAAATAAACAGTAACAAATATCTGTATTTTTTTAAATTATCTTTTCTTTTTTTTTGCTTCAAAGAGCCAGACTTCCTTTGAATGACTATAAATGATCTTTAGCAACTGGTCTCACTGCTTTCCAAACATATTTCAAAATTAACAAAGTCCATGCTCAATAATCCAGGTATACAATCCAACATTTTTCAGTCAGATCATCTGGACAATTTCTTTTTTTTGTGCTGAAACGTTTCACCTTCGATCCGGAAGGCTTCATCAGTCAAGGAAACACACAACACAAAAGAAACTGTCCAGATGACCTGACTGAAAAATGTTGGATATTTCAAAATTGTTTTCTACACACACACACACCTTTTATTTGTTTGTTTGTTTATTTATTTATTTTTAATTTTAAGGTGCAAAGGCAAACTACAAAAAAGTGGTAAAGAAAATTCAGTTTAACAAGAAATGTATTAACATTCCTTGAAAGATTTCTTATTGCTTAGCCCACTTCACACCCAAGTTTTAAACAAAGATCTTGTATGATCTTGTATGATCAGTTAGATCTCTGGGTATGAGATAGGAAAGACTCTCAGCTACTACCAGGTCAAATATTTATTAAATGAAATGAGCTATAAGCATTTTTGTGTCTGTTTGTTTTTGTTTTTAGATCTTCAGCCTTTTTGCCTTTTGTTCACAGTTTCTCTGATCTTTTCGTGGCACACAGCGCCCCCTGCTGTCAGACTGAGGTACAGCCGTGGACTAAAAGTGCCACTGTTCAAAGAAAAACTTTGAAAAAAATAATTTTTCAAGACCAGTTTATACAACTATTAAAAATGCTTGGTTATTAGGAAGAAAATAAATAAATGAAGGTTTTCACATTTAGCAAAACTGTCAGAGAACTGTTCATAAAAAATGAACTAACCAGCTTTGATCATCTGAGTTAATTTGGCATTTTTCGTTATTTTATTAATTTATTATGTTTAATCAGCACAAATGACAGTAAAAAAAAACTTTGTACAAAATGATTGGAATGCACAAATAAACATGATAAAAGCAGTGAATATAACCCAAATTAGAAAGTCTGGCCACTTGTCCTGCCACTTCCTTCTCTACTTTGCAAATAAGCATCCATGTTTTAACAGATTAGATCAATGCTAGTGTTTGTTTGTAACCGTTTTATCTCCAGCCTCAAATCTAAGCTTCATCATTTGTATATCAAAGACAAATCACAGCTGTAATCCTTTTCAACATAAGCTAATAACTCAGATATTAGAGGATGGACATTCAGACCAGCTGCAGGGAGTAATCGCTGATTCACAGGGATGTGGAGCCTGTCAGAGGCAGTTTGGGAGCAGGACCTCTGAATACCAGGCAGCTCAGCACTGAGCCAAAAGAGGACAGGCCAGTCGGCTTTAGGGCACTGTGGGAAAGGCTGGCTGGAAGCCGAACACCCAGACTTATTCTTTGAGCCAGAAAGAAGTTCATAGTTTCACTAAACTATGTTTTGTTGCACACAAAACCAGGCTTAAAACTTGGAATTGCATAGTAGTGTTTCAAATTCTTTCCCCAAACTCAGTGTTTCAAGCTTTATCATGCCCTAATGAAGCGTGCATTTCACTCCATCTGCCTTTTTTTTCAAACCGGTTTCTTTTTTCTCTCTTCCCACCAGCTAATAAACTGGTGACTAAATGCAGCTCTGAAGCGAAGCTCCAAGACAAAAGCAGGAGGGAGGGACCACTCACTGGCATGGCGTTGTTGATAGTGGTGTTGTACACACAGGAGCGCATTGTGTACTCCGTAAGGCACCCCTCGAATAGCTGCAGCGACTCGGACACCTTCTCGTGGAAATCCTCTGCAGATTTATTGGCAATACCGAAGTAAAGGTAGTCTGAGTAAAGCCTGCAAAACAACACAGTCGACAAATGGGACATAAATGCACAGGCTTTAACACGTATCTAAAGATGGGTAATTATGCAGCTACTCCATTAAAATATAAATGAAAGAAGCATAAGATATAACTTGGTTTTTTTTCATAAGTGGACTAGCAAAACTAAAAATGCCTGCACCAAAACAGATTGGTGGAGACACAAAGTCATGAAGCATCTCCAATAAAACTTGACACGTGGCCCAGGGTCTGTATTAAGGAAAGGCACAGGTTGTAAACAAGTCTCACATAATGAAACTGGCACAGTTGGTTTAATCGACCATGCAATTAATTTCCCCTACAATTTGTTTTGGGGAAAGGTAACACAGGCCGCCATCAACAAAGATAATTACGCAGAGGCTGCTCTGATGTCCTTCAAAAAAAACAAAAAAAAAGTTACAAGTTCAGCTCTTTTGAAATGAGGTTCTGTTAAGTGGTTCTAAATGGTTATCTTTCTATAGTTTACAAGATTTTAAACTAAAGTGGAAAACCACCAGCCACAGCCTCACAATTTAGTGTTAACACTATGTGTGGAACACTAAACACATTTATCTACTTCAATCCAGAAATGTATAAAATTGGCTCTTCTGTTTGATTTCAAAGCATTAGCTTTAAAATAAGTGGTTCCCAACCCTGGTCCCTGAGGAACACCACCACCCTGCTTGTTTTAGTTGTTCCTCTGCTCCAACACACCTGATATGAATGAAAGGATTATTAACAGGCTTCAACCAAACTTAAGGAAGTAATTAAACCACTGAATCAGGCGTGTTGGAGCAGAGGAACAACTAAAACTTGCAGGATGGTGTTCCTCAAGGACCAGGGTTGAGAAGTTTTAAATGACCACACTTATTGGTTAATCTACCAGGTGTGTAAACACATACAAGCCTAATTGAAAACAAGCCAATTAGGTATGAGCATTATCTTGATGCAGCACCTGTGCAGGAAAGGACACCAGGAGGTTTCTCCCATTTTGTCTTGTAAAAATTTTATAAATCCTATAGTCAGATCCAGCTAGCCGAAGAGATGTTGCCTTGACTCTATCGTTGTACAATCCCCACCAACATGCGCCTACATTTCATACCAGAATTGGGTTTCATAGTTTTTTCTTAATTATTTATCTAGATGTTTACCAAGCTTACAAGAATAAGAAAACTAGAATATATTTAGTTCAGCCTTCCATAAATGAGTAAATGATGCGGTTTTGATATTGTACTTGCTTTATAAATGTTATCTATTAGGTATAGTAGACGTGGAAAGAAAAAGTGGTAAGTGTTCAAGATTTAGTACATCAGCATATATATGATGACATCTAGAGACATCTACGCCTCCAGATACAGTAAGAGAGCCACCTGCATCATGAAGGACCTCACTCACCCAGCACACACACTTTTTGCCCCGCTCCCCTCAGAAAGGAGGTTGAAGAGCATTAAGTGTAGAACCACTAGACTGAGGAACAGCTTCTACCCTGAGCCTGTTAGACTCATGAATCTCTAACCAGAATGATCACTGTAAAAAAAAATTGCATCATGCTACTGATCTGTTTCATGTTACTGTGTTCATGCGTGCTCATCTGCTCACACAGACTCATGTTCGTGCTACTGTTCAATGTATTGTTTTTATACTACTAGTGTTTAATGTATTTCTAGTTGACATTTTTCTTAGTTCATAGCTTAGATCTTATTACAGTTTTTATTTTACATTTTATACTTTTGTTGGATGTAACTGGGACCCTGAGTACACAATTGCATTCCACCACATGTACCACATGTGGTGTGTATGCCAAATAAAAACCTTGAATCCTTGAATATGATCTTAAAAATAATCACAATTTTAGAACATTGTTGGTTGGACATGCTAGCAAATTAAACATCTATAAATTACTATATTTATTTAATTTGTTGCAAAAGATCTGGTGTCTTCTGTGCAGTTTTTAGAAAAAAGGAGACTCAAAATTGTGCCTAAAAATTATTTTACCTGCTGTAGATAGGTCTTTGTACAACCTTGATTTGCAAAAACAGTCTAATTCTGACAGAAATGACAAGCAAACAACCAGTCATAGAAAATCTGTGATGATCCCTGGGGAAAACTCTACCAAAAAGTCAAATAAGCTTTCTTTCTCCAAATAGAACATATCAAAAAGCTGTCTTCAACAGGTAAGATATTGCTTTTTCATAACCTCTCCACAGAACCCCACTTCAAAAAATATGAGCAATTCATTTACAGAGCAAACATGCCGTGAGGTGGAAAGTCCTCCCACCTTTCCACCGGGTCCCTGAGCATGACAATGAAGCGGGCGTCAGGCTGCAGGGCATGGATGAAGTCCTGGATAAGGAAAGGAGGCTCTCCCCCAGTGGCGTTGTCATAGAAATACACCCAGGCGTTGTTGTCCCACATGGTGGAGGCACTGGCTTCTCCTGCAAAGCACACCCACAGCGGTTAATAAGAACACGAGCAACACACAACAGCTGTTGCACAAAGACACGCGCTGGCACATTTATGTTTCTTTCATTCTAGTTTGCCATATCCATGACTCGAGTTTATGTTTTTGTAGATTTTTACCAAAGAAAAATGCCTCAGTGGTTGTGGTTGTTCTCCACCCTTGAGGAGCCTGGACTGCATCTGGCTGTGTTTATCATAAAACCCAACCCACTTCATGATTTCAAAGGTTTTCAAACTTGGCATACTGGCCACAGAGGCCACTGTGACGAAACTGATTGGAGTTTTTATGTTGATCAGCTTCGGCTGCAAAGTAAAAGCAGGGCTTTTGTGTGGGTTGTCATCCACGGGAGCCATTCTTTATGCATAGTAATATATTTAAGCCCATTTGTGTATATTTTCCCAACCCTATCCACATATTCAAATGGTTTTGTACTGTGATGATGTCAAAATAATAGTACAGTTGAATATATTGTGACTTTTAAAGAAAAGCTGCGACCTGCTGATGTCCTTTTTGTCGCTCACTGACATGACAAAATCATCTTCATCACATTCTTCAAGCACTAATGGATTGCACAAGATCTTTAAGACGTTAGCAATAATTGGGAATCAACTCTGTCTGTTAGCAAAATATCTCATAATTGGACCGACTTAAATGAAACTCACACAAAAATCATTAGATGCACATTTCCTCAAATTTACTCAAAATCAGCTGATTTACGAGCTGAACCGTAAGATGGAAGTGATTTGTGAGAATCGCAGGCCACCTGCAGCTTTGGGACTCGCCAGCATGTTGGAAACAACATTGGAGGGGCTCGTCAACACGGACCAGTAGAATGCACCCTAGTCTGGCCATTTTGGATCTTGAAAGTACCAGTAGGACTCAAGGCTGACAAGAAAAAACAGTCTGCCTGAAAAAAATGAACAATTGTGGCTTATCAGAATCTGACTCCTCGAAAACAGGCCGACATTTCAATTTCTCCTGGGAAATGTGTAAACTAAGGAAAAGTTTTGTCTGTCGCAACCCACGAGAACTTCTGTGGAGGCTTATCAGAACTGTGCCGGCTGACCAACATTTTATCAGGACTATGGTCTATCTGGAAGTGCTTCATGGACCGCCTTGCCGTCGAATGCATATGTAACGTGTTCATGTGTTTGCTGGCAACGTTTTTTGACGTCTTAAATCGTGTCATGATTGGACAAAAGGTGAAGAGATCTTTTTTGGAATGCCACTATCCCATCCTTCTGGATTTTTCCCCTTTTCTATCCAAAAATATGTTCTGAAAAGGATAAGAGGCTGCACTACCATAGCAGCAGCTACGTGCACTCCGCCCATCTTTTGGACGACTGTATGAACATTCTCTCGCTGTATCTCAGTACAATGATAATACAACTTATTTTGATTCTTCTACATCTAATTAAATGTTGCTGTTTTACATCCATTCAGAAGATGTTTCTCAATCTGAGCCCAGAAACGTTCTCAGAATGTGCTGAGAGATGATATTCTGATTCATTAGGGCGTCTGTGACTTTTCTTATCTGCGAAGCGAAGCTGTCATGTGCTTGGATGAGTCTTATCTTCCCCTATTTTCTGTGATGACAACGGTGAATGTGAAACATGATCGCTGCTGACGCCTGAAATGATCCACACTGTGATCAAGTTTATTTAAAGGTCTCTGTGCCTATTAAAGGGGCTTGCTTTGCTCTATGGGGGGAGGCTGGAGCAGGACAAACAAACGAAGGAGCCGGACCGTCGTGGCCCTCTGCTGCTCCGGCTCTCGGCTGAGACTTGGCAGACAGCTGAAGAGAATCATGGAGCAGAGATCCTGGCCACAGGCCTGCACCTCGCTGGGTTCTCACAGGGCATGGTGTGAATACTGAGTGGGCTTTTGGCACACACTCCACCTCTGTTACAACCATTACTTATTTAAAGAGGAAAACAAAACGTGCGGCACGCTAAGCTGCGCTCAATGCACCGAGTCCAGCATGAAAAGACTATTGTTCGTCTTTGCTGCTAGCTTCTTTGAGTTTGGGCGATGGGAAAGGACAGAAACAAATAGACACAGCGAGAATGGAAACGGGATATGTTGGAAGAGGAAGGAGGTCTAAGATCCCTCCATCCTGCTGTGGATATTATTGCTGGGCCTGACACACACACAAACAATGAATCCTTTATACAGCACTTCAGTGAAGTGGCTAAGTGAGGCAGAAGGACGTTCAGTGTTATTAAGGTGTTAGAAACTCTCTTTAGGGCTGAGTCACCAGCACCAAAGAGACTCTTCCTCCGTTGTTGGAGTGAAAGTGGCTGCTCTGTAACGCTGCACACGGTGACATGTAATGTATCCAGCCCAACCAAAACCGTGACCTACTGCAGTTTGATCAGGATACAGAACGCCGCCAGGTCACTTCCACACACGTGTCACCAAGCTGCTATGTGAGGTCATCTCATGTTCAGACACGACGGAGTTTTAACTATTTTGTTAAAAAAAATTTAAATTAAAACACCCAACCATGTTCCGTTAGGTCATCTGGACAGTTTCTTTTTTTTTTTTGCTGAGACGTTTTGTCCTTCATACAAAGGACTTCATCAATTTGAGAAGTCACCAAACAAAAACTGATTCCTACAAACAGCATACTCCATAGTGTAAAAAAAAAGTTTGCTGGTGATAAGATGGCATCTGGGGCCCGCCCTCTCCCTCGTCAACTCCTCTGAGACCATTTTTTTTCACTATGGAGTCATTCATTCATTCAACCTTTATTTATACAGGTTAATCCCATTGAGTCGCGGGGGCTCATTTACAAGAGGCCTGATTTTAACAAAGCGTGATGACAACAGTGGACAACAAAGACAATAAACAATCATAAATAATGCGTACAAATTGAGATTTTTTTTTAACAAGTGAAAATAAAATGGTGTTTAAAAGGAAAAGTAACAAAAAAAACAGCTAGGTTGTAGGGTGTTGTAAAAAACTTAAAACAGTATATTAAAAAAAAAAACTAAAAACAGAGTATGCTGTTTGTGGGAATCAGTTTTGTTTGGTGGCTTCTCGGATTGATGAAGTCCTTTGGATGAAGGATGAAACGTCTCAGCAAAAAGGAAAAAGAATCGTCCAGATGACCTGACTGAACATTGCTGGATTTTATATTTAGACTATTGAGCATGAACTTTGGTGTTTTGAACCACTTAAATAAAAAACATTCTGCACAATCTCATAATCTGTTAGCACTTGGATTATGTGTTGTAAGGACTTCCAGCTGAACACGCACCACAAGTGTTTCCTCAGTCACATTCACTTCCAGTGAGGTACAGCCATTTAAATGTAGATTAAAGGTGATTTACCTGTAGCAGTCATCTTTAATCAAGCTGAAAATTTGATTTAAATCCATCCAGTGATTCATACAATATTTTGCTAACAGACACTAAATGCCAAAGCTTTAAGCAAAAAAGATCACACAACATGTTCAGAGTATGTGTTGGAGAAATTTTACAGCCACTACCACATTAAACTTTAGCTCATTATCTGGAAAACTATCACTAGAACCATCTGTGTGTTTTTAAGGTCAGTTGCTTATGGCAGCCATATTGAATGTATGTACACCATTTGTAACCTTCAGAAAATGTCATTACAATCCATCAAGTGATTCATGATATACAGTATTTTGCTAACCAACAGGCAGCGTAGATTCCATTACTTAATAGTAAAGCTTTGAACCCAGATCTCATGCAATTATTTTGCTTACAGAGTATAAGTTGGAGATCAGACTTAGCTGAACCCGCACCAAATTTTACTTCAGTATCCATAAAATGAACTGAGTTAGAGCTAGTTTGTGTTTGCTAATCAGACTGACTCCATAAGTTGATGAGTTGAAGATGTTCAGCACCTCCTAGGAGTTTTGTTAAACATTATCGCTCCAAATTCATCTTCAGCGGCAGGTGATAACCAGGAAGCGGAGTGGAGCAAACTGACGCTCTGATGTAAACAGGAAGAATATGCAGAGCAGGAAACGTTTGTGCTGCTGCAGCTGCCTCCAGATCTGATTAGCAACATGTCAGGCAGCTGCTCCCTCAGTCGTTCATAAGATATTATTCATGTTATAGACTAGTAGTGTTTCACCACAAGAAAAACTCATAAGCAGCTTCCTGTCACATTTTGCAGAGCTCAAAGTGAAGTGTGGAGCAATAAAAAAAAAGCAGGACGTCAGTATCTGGGTTACACTTCGACATAAGGAGTGGATTTGATGTTTGACCCAAAGACAGGTGGGCCTGCTTTGAAACGAGGATGGAGGTTAGTTTGAACTTTATACTTTACATTAAAAAATGACAGCAACCCTCTCATAGATAAATCAAAGGCTTTAATTAGCTTAAAATGTCTGCTGGTAATATCTCCACAGCTACATAATCCATCACACATTAATTACAATCTTTGCACGGTGGCTGTGATTGCATTTGTTCAATCAAACTTTAAAGCGAATAAAGCACAGTTCCCTTGAAACAGGCGTTTGAGTTACCTTTTTATTTTGATATGTACTGTTGAGTTTGGGAGACATTTATTAGGGTGTGAATATACCATTGAACAATGACACGTTTTTTAAGAAACACAAAACAATCTGTAAAATATGGAATGAAAATTGCATTGAAAGAAATTACAGAAACCATTATTAGTGACATTAACAACTGTAGTGTCCCTCCCTCTCCCACCAAGGAAGTCTGCGGACCTATCAGAGGGATCCGGCTGAATAAACATTGTGCCATCATTTCAGAACTCTTGGAGTCTCTCTGGCGCTGTTCTAGGTCGACCTCGGCACCCTCAAGAGTGTTTACGGATCTCACCAGAGGGGACTGGCTGATTGCACCATTCTTAGCAGAACTCCTACAGTGCCTCTAGAGTGTCCTTGGACACACTCACTGACCTTGTCATCTCTCCTCCCCTGCAGAATGTCTGCGTCACTATGTGCCGGGTGTTTTTTTCAATTTCAGGCTATCTTTCCTCAGCCAAGGAGTGAGAGTCTGTTAGGAATCACGTTTGCCTCCAAATCCTATACAAGTGTCACTTTCATTACTTTATCTGTCTAAACAGGTCTCACTTGTAAATGAGTCTTGGAGGATCAATGTGATTTATCTGTATAAATAAAGGTTGAATGAATGAATAGTGAAAATAAAGAGCTAAAAGAGAGATTAGCAGTAACAACAGTGACAGTGATCATAATAGTAATCATTCATATATCAGTTCATATTGATGAGAATAATAACCATAACTAGAAAATCCCCAAAGGATAAGGCACAAAATCCCGACATTATCCTGCAACAATATAAACTGAGTGCTCACACATCGATGCAGGAGCTGCACGAGAAGTGCAAAGTAAACCAAAGGAAAGATCATTGGTGTGTTTTAAAATGAAATCAGTAAGAGTACGTAAGTAAAACAAATCACAAAGTGCTTCAACTAACAAAATACACAAAATAAATTTAAGCAAGCAGATTAAAAAAGATAAGTTTTAGCTGGCCTTTAAAGGAAGCCACTGAGTCCACTGATCGAAGAGTTTGAGGAAGGGAGTTCTTGGAGCCACAGAAGAAAAAGCTCTGTCTCCTTTAGTTTGTAGTTTTATCTGGGGGACAATGAGCAGGTCTTGATCTTCAAAGCCCTAATGGGGTGTATGTTCCAAGATGTAAGTTGGTGTGTGACCGTGCAGAGCTCGCCAAGTCAAAACCACAACCTTGAAATCCGCTCAATAATGAATTGGGAGCCAATGAAGTTGCTTTAGAAGTGGAGTTATATGACAAAACTTTGAAGATCCAGTCAGGAGTATAGCAGCAGCAGAAAATAGATATACAACCGGATATCGTCTGCATAACAATGATAGGAAATATCCTTAAAAGATGAAAGTACTGGACCAAATGGGAGCAGATAGAGCAAAAACAACAATGGCCCCAAAACAGAGTAGAGCAAATGTGACCAAAGATGGCATCACTTCTAGCTTCTTAAGTTGTTGTTTAACCTTAGTAGTAATTTAATTAATACATTTGTCCTTTTTTTAAAACTAACAATTGCATTTAGCTTTTTACATAATTTGCTTTTTACCTAAGGCAACTATTTTATTCAAAATAGTCTAGAAAGCAAAAACATAAGCAGTGACCTAAAGAACCCAAGCTATTTATTATAATATGATTATTTTACGTTGAAAATCATCCATAAATCTTGTGTTGCATCACTTACCTATGATGATATTCGGGTGGCTGGGGGAACCCTTGGTGTTTGCGGTGAGGTTGCCCTGGATCTGGTAGGCAGCCTGATCGAACAAGTCAAGGTAGTCTTCCACCGGGTATCGATCGTGGAAGCCCTCGCTGAGACGAATGATGCCTGATGAAGCAAGACAGCAAAGATGAACACATGTGGGCGAGTATCTTTAAGAATGTTTGAGGTTTTATTAAGTACTTGGGTTGAAAGTTGCTGAAAATATATCTTGAACCATTAAATGGAAAATTACATTGTCATAATAAACTTCCACGCTTTTGAATGAAATAGTTTGTAAAGTTTGTCATGTGAGCTAATATTAGCGTTCTTTCTCATCAGTATGTCGTTCGTTGAGAAAGAATTGCTTTATAAGCATAAAAATCTATAAATAAATATAAAAGCAAGCTCTCGCTTGGCTATTAGACTAGCCTATAAAAACACGTGACATTTTCTCTACATCCTGTGACCTTTGACTCCCAGTTGAAATGTTATTAATTGCTGATAACTGTTTGATACCGAATCACTTTAAAACTGACCAGACTGTCCCTTTACGCTTTTTCTTTTTCTTTGTGACAAAAAGCTCTTCGCTGTTGTTCTGATTTCAGCATGACCTGAAGAAATCCAACTTTACACCAAAACCACATTAAACAGAAGAAGAAAAAAAAATCAGCTTTAGTGTTTTCTGTTAAAAGCCTGTGTGAAGTTAATGCTTTAAAAAAAAAAAAAAAAAAAATCCATTTGTGCAACAACTAATTATGATGAATATAATTTATATGCATTTGTTGAGAGCATCTATGCAGCATTAGGATAATGAGGTGACTCAGCCATCTGCTACATTTAGTCAAGCTTTGATGCTGTCCTTCTTAATAGCAGAAAAACGTGTTTAGGAAACTTTAGCAAAGTGGCCAAAAAGCCAGCCAGCCTCATTACTCATGTAGAACAATGAGGTGTGATGGATCCATGTCTGCAATGAGTGTATTTTTTTCTCTCTCCTTCCTTTTGGTTTTGATATAAATGAGGCAGTTTTCAAACAAGCCGTTTGTCTCGACTTCAGCTGCACAAAACAAACACATTTGCTTAATATTCAATGAGCCCGTCTGAGAGAGTTGTGTGGCGCAGATCGCATGAATTCACCTTTTCAATGCGTCAGCTGAGCGCGGCCTCGAGAGGGAATTAAATAAATAAATACGCAACAAGACCATTTGAATTCAGAGTGTCCTCAGAGGACGTCTTGGGAGAAAAGTGCTGATTACCAGCGTGGAGTCTGAAGTATGGGTCTGGAAGGGATGAAGAAGTGACAGAAAACTTGAAAGCAAAAGGAACGAAGGGGGACATATATTTAGTAGGACCTATCGCTGAGACACAGCTGCACCGCCGTGAGCTGCAGGGAATATGAGCAATAAATTAAGGCAAAGAACACATCCTCAGAAAATTAAGAAGACTAAACGGAGTCAAGATCTGCATTCAAACTGGACAGATTCTGTAAATTCGCAGCGTGATTGTGGATAAAGACAGGAACTGGATGCACTTCAAAAGGATTGTTTTGGCCGTTAAACTTCTTTTGATGCACAATATATATCCAAAAACTTGGGACATTGTGTAAAATGTAAATAAAAACAGAACACAATATTGTACAAATAACCCGAAAACGCAGATTCTGTACATATTGAGGTGACCCCACCTCACTGAACAATTATCGACCAATCTCTAAACTCTTCATTTTAGTCAAGGTTCTAGAAAAACTGATCAACTCTTAAATCAAAAAGTATTTGGACTCATTTAACATCTTACCTCCCCATCAGTCTGGTTTTAGGAAACAACACAGCACAACGATTGCTTCGCTGAAGGTTTTTAATGACATTGCTGAAGCACTGGATGCTAAGGATTATTGTGCTGCACTTTACTTAGACCTGTCTAAAGCGTTTGACACTGTGGATCATATCATATTGTGTCATAAGCTCTCAGAAATTGTTTCTCAGAACACACCATTGGTTGGTTCTCTAACTGTCTTTCAGATCGGAGGCAATGTGTTCAACATAATGGTACTTCCTCCAGTTATTTAACAGTCAACAATGGTGTACCACAAGGCTCAGTCATAGGACCCACCCTCTTTACAATCTACATAGGTAATGTAGGTCAGAGCATCCTTGATGCATCCTTACATTTATATGCTGATGACGCAGTTGTTTATTGTCGAGCTAAAACAGTTGCTAAGGTTTTCCAGCTTTTGCAATCCGCTTTCGACATCATCCAGTCAGATTTGTTCCATCTCAAACTTGTCCTAAATGCAGACAAAACCAAACGGATGCTTTTTGCAAAGAAGAAGTCGGTCCCAGCAGTTCTTCCTCTGATTTCATCCTCAAATGGTGTCCCTATTGAGTTTGTCGATTCCTATAAATATTTGGGTATCTTGGTTGATTCACATCTCTCCTTTAAGCTCCATGTGGAAAACTTGGTAAAGAAACTGAAAGTTAAACGGGGTTTCTTTTTCAGAAACAGATCCTGTCTAACTCTGAATGCTAGGAAACTCCTTGCAACTTTGACTTTCCGGTGACATTATTAATATGAACGCTCCTACAAGCACTCTGCATATGCTGGATGCTGTCTATCACGGTGCACTAAGATTCATAGCTGGCTGTAACTATCGTACCCACCATTCTCTGGTTAACTGGTCATCATTAACTTCACACAGACTCTCTCACTGGTACTTTTTCATCTTTAAATCACTTCTTGGTCTGATGCCTTCATACATCTCCTCCTACATGTCACTGCATGAGTGCAACTACAGTGTACGCTCTCAGGACATCATTACATGCAGTGTTCCCTCAGTGAGGCCTGGACTAGGCAATAGGGCCTTCTCCTACTCCGCTCCTGTTTCCTGGAATATCTTGTAAAAAGATCTGAAGCTCTCCACCTTGACTTCTCTAAGTGGCTTCAAACATCTGTTAAGTTCCTGGCAAGAACCCATGCAGACATGTTCCTGTTTTTAGTTTTCTACACCGCCTCATGATCTAGCTGTTTTTTTGCTACTTTTCCTTTTAACTACCATTTTAATTTCAATGTTAAAAAATAAACAAATTTGTATGCATCTTTTATGCTTTTATCTTTTATTGTTGTCTTCGTTGTCCAATGTTGTTATCACTTTTTGTTCAAATCAGGACTCATGAATGAGTCCCTGAGGCTCAATGGGATTAACCTGTATATATAAAGGTTAAATGAATTGGAATATAGTCAACATATCTAATATCAAATCTAAGAAATTCTACAATTTTGGAGGGTAGTTTTGAATTAGATGACAACAACACATGTCTTAAAGTTGGGTCAGGAGCTACAAAAGAATAAGAAGCAGCAGGAGGAGCATTTTGCACTTAATTAGGTTAATTACCAACAGGTTGGTAAGAGGCCGAAGTATATAAAAAGAGTGTTTTAGAGAGGATGATTCTCTCAGAAGCAGAAATGGTCTGAAGCTCAGCAGTTTGTGAATCACTGCATCTAGAACTAGTGGAACTGAATTTTGAGCAATTTCAGAGCAATAAGTAAGAATAAGATTAATCTTAACAATTGGACCGATGTGAAAGTGCAACTGCTGTTCCTAAATCCAAAATATCCCCAAACATTATGTAAACAAGCAAGTACTGAGCCATGATCTGATCTTTCTTTGATTTTAAACAGCAATCAGTCAGGAAGCAGGATTGCCCTTCAGCTTTATGACACTTTCTGGTTTGTAATGGGAATGGCATCAGAAATGCACATATTCGTTGCCAACTCATACGGACTCGCTGCTGACGTCTGCTTCAAAAGCTGCAGAAGGTTTTCTATTATTTGAGACTTAATGAGTGATTCAATTATAAATAAAAACAGGGGAAAACACAAGATGGCTTTCCTTATATGTGGCAAAATCACAGTAAAATCATACCCTAATGGAAGTATTCTACCTATAGCCTTTTTATTTAATTTATTTAAAGATAGTTTCAAAGATTAAAAACAAAAACAACTAAAATATGCCTTGAATTTAAGTGAGTTGATTTAGAAATATATTCTCACAACCAGATCCTCGTCTTTAAATCCCATCTGTCACAGAGTGGTATTTTTATTTTTTATTTTTTTTACTTCACAGATGCTTCTGCTACAAGAAAACCATGATGGCGGCCATACTCTGAGGGCTGTCACACGAGCAGATGTCTGCTGTCTTACTCCGCGGTTTCTCTGTTTCGTGTCTTTGTTTGAGTGAATCACTTGATGCCAACTGTTCAACCTACTTAAGCGCCAAGTTAGAATTATAGGCTGCCTAAACCGGCGTTCCCTGAAGTGATGCATGTCGCCGGCCAATTGGTGTGACAAAGTTTTAAACAATTAGATCTCTCAATCTGTTAATGCTCTGACTAAATGTTGGTTACTGCCCAAAAAAATAGGCTAAGTATCTGTAAACAGATGGAGTTATAGTCATTTTTGTATTTATTAAGTTTGATTAGCTGTGACAGCCGTCTTAAATCTGACACCAAAAGTTAATCAGCTGTAGATGTGCATCCATGAGCATGCATCAGGATATCCAGTGATTAGTTTCTGAGAGTTTCCTCAAAATCTGTGCAATAGTTTACAAGATATGTTTCTAATTGACAAAACACACATAGCTAATACTGTATGGGTAATTTCCATATTTAAAGCTTTTAATTACTAATATTGAAGTCTCATGTGGTCTCGTCAAACAAAAATAAATAAATCAAACTGTAACTTTCAAAAAGAGTTTAGCTTTAATCAAACGATTCAATTAAATCTTTTCGGATTGCAAAATTAAGTCTTTTTAAATGAGCGTCTAATAAGTGAGTGAGCAAAGGATTGCTCAGCTGTAAAAATACAAAAACAGAAAGGAAAAAAAAAAGATACTCCGACAAGAAGCCACAGCTGAGAGACACGGTGGAGGAAATGTGCACTCAAATGATACAAATCTAACACAATTTTCCGCTTGTTCAAGAAACTTAAACCACAGAAAAGCATCTTAGTCACAGGTATGGATAAGGTTGGTGCAGACTGCTGAGCGTGTAGTTTTGGCTGAGTCAATTAATGAGCAGCCTGGATGTACAGAGATGACTGCCTGCAGCAGTTAAAGGCGGGTGTAAAAGGCGGAGGAGTGGGGGACAATTAGTGTTTTAAAATGTCCCATGGAGGGAAATACAACACTGGAGCTGAAAACTGTGAGGTGGCAATTATCTGCTAGAAAATGATCTTAGTTTATTAGTATTCATGGAACTGCACGGGTCTTGAATATTCATGTTTTAGTTAGATGCAATGGGAGACCAAGCAGAAATATTTAATAAATGTCAAATTCATGGGTGTGTGTAATTGGGAAGAAAAATATATATATTTTTTTCCTTTTACTCAAGACTTTCTCCTAAATCAATTTAACGCCTAGAAATCCTTGAAGGAATGCACTTCGCCCGCCACCTTTCATGCCAGAATTTTAGACCAGTGGCTCCCAACCCTGGTCCTCGAGGAACAATTTCCTGGATATTTTTATCGTTTTTTCTGCTCCAACACACCTGATTCAGTGATTTATTTACTTACTCAAGTTCAGCAGAAGCCTGTTAATCACTCATTCATTCAGATCAAGTGTGTCAAAGCAGGGAAACAACTAAAACATATAGGATGGTGTTCCTCAAGGACCAGGGTTGGGAACCATTGTATTTGACCTCAAGCTGCGAAATAAGTTTTAGTTGTTATGGTCAAACCTTGAAAATAACATTATGCACAATCCCATACAAAATCTCAATGGGTCTCACATGATCTCTTAGTGCTTGGAGTATGGGTTATGAATGACTCTCAGCTACTACCAAGTCAAATTATAGCTCAATTTCTTTAAAATTGACTGAGTTATATTTGTTTTGTAAGGACTGTAAGCTGTGGTGGCTATCTTAAACTGACGATGTCAAAAGTTGATCAATTGTAGACATACAGTCAATATGTACTGTACTTTCAGATAATTTCACTGAAATTTGTCAGGCTGTTCAAGAAATGTTTTGCTACCAGACAAAGATGATTGACTTCGAAAGCCAAGGTTTTATACAAAGATATCACGCAATGTACTGTGGTCATAGAATGTGTTGTGGATGATGCTCAGCTACTGCCATAGCTAATTTTAGCTCATTACAGTAGTCCCTTGTTTATCACGGGGATCCGTACCCAGAGGCCCAGCGATAAGTGAAAAACCACAAAGTAGGAATAGTAGTACAAGTAGTAAGAAGTAGTTTATTTTAGTATTTATATACATATATAGATATTTAGGCATTTAAACCCTTCCCACACCCTTGCAATATTCTAAATAATGTTTCTAAACTCTAAATGCTCTAAAAGTGCACAGAATGTCATGATTTCCCTCTCTGTACCTCCGCTGCTCTCAGCAACCTGCAAGCGCTCTTGGCCACGCCCACTTCTCTGCTCTGCCCACAGATCAGCTGATTAGCTGTTCAGCTGCAGGAGGAAGTTTATCCTGCAGTGTGGGCTGCACAGAGACGCAGGAGGAAGCTTTTTCTGCAGCTCTGGGCTGCACAGAAGGTGCTAAATTTATTTTAAATAAAAATTCCATGCAGATCGTGCGGCTCATCCATCAATCAGCCAATTGTGTGTCATATCCAATCTTATTTTGAAAAACCGCGATGGAGCAAATCCGCAATAAACGAACCGCGAAGTAGAGGGGGACTACTGGATCTGTAAAACTGTCTGAGTTTTAGCCATTTTGTTGTTTTCGAGGGTCAGTTGACTGTGGCAACCATCTTAAATTGGACTGACTCCAGAGGGTAATCCGTAGTAGATGTCAACCCAATCATTTTGTTCGGGAATTTTCATTAAAATTGATTGATTTACATATTTTGCTAACCTTACAAACAAACAAACAAGCTACAGTAGTTACCATCTTAACAAAGGAAGGCTTTTCTGAAACCTTCTGAGGTTTGAGTCTGTGAAAGTTAAAACGTTTAGAAAATCTCATTTCACATGTCTACGGTAATACTCAGTCACTTGTCATTGTGGCCCAGCTCGAGGTCTCTGCCACAGGATGATTTCTTTACTTACCAAACCTCTTGCGGGTCCACCAGTGGGGCTCTTTGAACGTGGTGAACCTGACATCGGGGTGCAACCTCAGTCTGTCATACAGGTCCGTTGTGCCACACTTTGGTTGGCCGATAATGTAGAAGAAAGGAAGGCACCGCATGCGGTAGGGTTTCCTGCTGCGATGCAGCAAGTGGTCACGGAAAGTGCTCCTCAAGTGCTGGAAAACTGTCCGGAAACGCCGCGAGTACCGCCCATACAAATTAGTCCTGTACGGGTCTGAGGTAATGTTGCCGGTGAATTCTTCGTACCAGCAGGGGTTCTTGATCCCGGGCAGGAATTTGCGAGGAATGACAGAAAACATCTGTTAAGAGAAAGAAAGGTTTACTGCATCGCTCTGTTTAATCCTCTTTTTTTTTTAAAAGACACATCTCAGACAAAGTCTTCTGCATTTTCTCTGATAAGGCTGCTCTGTGAAGGAACAAATTTTTTTTTTTTCCATTTTTCACACACACACACACACATAAGGAAAAGAAATATCTAAACCTTTTGAAAGCTTATCAGAATACAAAATGTTGTTTTGTCTTGACAAGAAATGAATTATGAGCCAAAAACCTGCTTTTAAGGGGGCAATTTTGACTGAATATATAGAGCTGAAGAGACTTATTTAGAACCTTGAGTTTGCACACAGATGCTCACTTTTTCATGTGATTTATGGCAACATCAGAAGAAGAGTTATAGCCCAGTTACATAACTCATTTGTTGGTATTCAGTGAGTATCTGAAGCTCCATCAACTTGAGTCTTTACTGTGGCAGCTCTGACGGATCTCCTCTGCTGGCACTTCCCTTTTAAAAGTTGAAGGAAGCTTTTAGTCGCCATTCCAATAGCTAACCTTCAAAACCACTTGAGCTGAGGTCAGGAAACTCAATCTCAGACACTCCCTGTGACCGAGGCTGTTACAGTGAGCAGGCAATCGTTTAATTGCATTAAGGATAATTATGGCTGTGATATGGCTATGATTCATTAAACGGACAGATGTTTCATTTCCTCAGTGTTTACCACAGGTTGCAGAGTTATAGTGTCTTGAAAAAGTGGTTATGTCCCTTAACTTTTACACTTTGTTGTGATAATCTGTGTTTTTGTTGATGTTTGGTGTTATTCCTCTAGACCAGGGGTCTGCAACCTGCGGCTCTTTGGTCCCTCTGCAGTGGCTCTTTCAATCTTTGACCAAAACTAACATAAAACTGAATTTTATTGGTTGTTATACCAACAACAAAAAAGCTAGTATCAGCAGTTTTTTTTTTCTTTTGTAAATATGTGAATACTTATTTTGACAGGGTGCATTCTGGTAACTGCTTGGATCTGGTAACTCTCAGCCTTACTAATAATAAAGTTATGAAAAAATATGACTGTCTTGAATAAGTAAAATTTATGGTGGATATGTAATCTGAAAATAATTACATAAACACTCATTTTAAACACAACAGCCACTATGAGCTTCCTAATATCACACATGAGCTACCTCTTCAAGTAAGCATTTTCACTTCTACTCTTAAAAAAATCTCTGCACCTAAAGGGGCGGAGGATACAGGGAGAATTGAAGCGTGCACTATTCACACAAGGAGAGCTATTGGTCAAGCTACTTCTCTTAGATGTTTAACACCCCGTTAAAATACACCAGAATGCAGGAAATGGTATCTGTTTTATTCAAAGTGTTCTGGGGGAGGACCCTTGGACCCCCCACCCAGCTATTTGTATTTTGGCATCGTTTAGTTTACAAATTAAGCACTGACTTTAACTTTGTTTTATTTTTATACTTAATTACTTTTTCCGCAATTGAGAAAAATCACATAGGTCTGCATTGTTCATAGTTTTTATATATATATATATATATATATATATATTGTAAATAAAAATCAATTCATTTATTTTTACCCCTCTTTACAAGAATCTGTCTTTTCTTTTGTTTTAATTTGTAAAAATATCAATAAATGTTAAGAAATCATTACATATTTTTAGCTTTATAATATGTGGTCTCAAAAGCCCCCTCCAATAAACCTTACACCCGCTTCGGATGTTATCAGCCATTAAATGGCCGTTATTAGTTGTTATCATCTCCATATGTAGCGGT